ATATATATATATATATATATATATATATATATAGGCTATATATACTGTATGTAAAAAACTAAATCACCAAAATGCATCAGGAAAAGATACAATGATACTATATGTATATGAGTGTGTGTGTGTGTGTATCCATTGTTTTGATGGTAAATTTACACATGAACTGAAGTAAATTTTGAAAGATTTTCTATTTAAAAAGTACTTTTATTTCAATCTAATTTGATCATATTTACAATATGTTTACAATAAGTTTCAAATGCATTTTGCCCCCTCCAAATGGTTATTTTTTTAACCATGTCGAAACGGTCCTTCCTAAAATCCATTCTCAAATGTCCAGTCGTAATTCTAAAGTGGTGCATCTATTATTCTGCGTTGGAATACCACCTGTAATAAAGTCATCCATTCATGACGGCAGATTACGGGTTATTATCTTCATTAAAGCAGGACAAACTCACAGCTCCTGTGCTGACAATGATTAGGCGGAGAGGAAGAGTCGTTTCGCAGTTAATCTGACACTAACCTCTGGCTGACACCTGCAGCTTGATCCGCTGCCAAATGGAGGAGTTAGCGGCTTTTTACGTAGCTGCCATGGAATGGGAACGCACAATGGCTTAGCTTGTGTTAGCATGAGGCTTCACCTACAACATGAAGAGAAAATAAAAGAGAGAAAGAGGAATAGCTGTAGTTTGACACGCTTCTGATTAAAAGCACAATGACAAAAACCTGTTGCACCACACGCTCCTACTCTCAGTGAGATAATGTAATCATCACCTGTCACTTCTGTGGAAAGTTAAAACCAGGTATGAAAACTAATTTGACGTGCTTTCTATGTTTTGATCCAGGACTCTGGCAAGGCTGTGTCTCTGGGCTTGTGGATGGAGGAGATGATCTTCAACTTGGCTGATTCACGTCTGTTTTTCAACGACCTGGAGGTGAGCCAAACCTCAGAATCAACTAAATCACTTAGGATTTAATGCCAAACACGCTTTTTTTGGACTTCAGCATTAGATGTATATTTAAATAATCACAAAAAATGGTGCCAATTATAAAAATACAGATACATTTAAGTTTTATAATTTAAGAAGAAAGAGCGGAAAGTGATATGTATGGAAGTTTGTTTCCACATGGGATAAAAATGTTATAATTCTCAGAAAAAAGGTCAAGATATAAACTCAATTGCAACATTCAAATATAAGATAACTAAAATAAAAAGTCGTAATTGTGAGATAAAATCTTGCAATTAACTTTTTATTGTTTTATTCAATGGCATTTAAAAACGGAATTGAACTTTTTCTCAGAATTACAATTTACAACTCTTTTTTTAATAACTCGCAGTTATTAAAACTCACAATTCTGAGGGGGGGGGAGTCAAAATTGTGATAACAATTTATAACTTTATAACTCGCAATTCTGAGAAAACGGTCTGAATTGTGAGATATAAACGTGCATTTACCTTTTTATTTTATCTCTTCTCTTTGGCAGAAAAAACTTCTATAGATATGAGAAACGAACTTTGATGGTCGATTTGTAAATAAAAAATATTTTACGCAGAATGTTGTGATTGGCCAATCAGAATCAAGTATTCCAGAGCGCCACATAACAAACTTCTCTTATTGGTAGGAATCTGCTCCTCTTACATTCTCCAGTAGAACACCGGTCGATCATAAAGCTCTACGCATTCCTCGCACCTCACGTCTTCATTTGTTAATACTTTTTGCTAATTTGATGCCATTATGACTGCAGTAGTCTCTCTTGCATTATGCATGTTCTACCGTATTTAAATTAGTTCCTTCTGGGGTTTTTTTTTTCTTCCCCAGAACTCCATGTGACGACACATGCATGTAATATTCCTCACATTAAACCACCCCGACAAAAATATGAGGAACAAATCATGTGTCCTCATGTTTTTGTGACAGCTGCAGAAACTGGCCGTGCTGCTTGTCACAAATATGCAAAGAAACAGCTAAATAATTCATCAAAAAGACTAAATAAAAAATATGTACACTGCCATTCAAAAGGTTTTCAAGCATTTTTTTTTAAAGAATTGAATAATGTAATTCAGCAAGAAATCAGCATTAAATTGATCAAAAGTGACACTAAAGATATTTATAATGTTTCAAAAGATTTCTATTTCAAATAAATGCCGCTCTTTTGAACTTGAAATTCATCAAAGAATCCTGCAAATAAAAATGTCTCACGGTTTCCACAAAAGTAGTGATAATAATCACTAATGGATAATAATCAGAAATGTTTCTTGAGCAGCAAATCAGCATATTAGAATGATTTCTGAAGGATCATGTGACACTGAAGACTGGAGTAATGATGCTGGAAATAAATAAAATTTTAAAATATATTCCTATAGAAATAGTTATTTTAAACTAATCATATATCACTGTTTTTGCAGTATCAAATAAATGCAGCTTTGGTGAGCAGAAGAGACTTCTTTCAAAAACATTAAAAAGCTTGCAAACTCCAAACTTTTGAACAGTTGTGTATATAAGGCAAAATGCATATTTACGGGTGGGTGGAACGAAATATCGATTAGTTATTTGAATTCAGTACTGTTTATGCATTAAAGTGTCTGTTCAACAGGCCATGACCTGACAGTATATGTGTGAAAGACCTCGGTTTGCCCTCTGCATGAAGAAATGAGGGATTAGATTCTTTAAAAGCTTTCGAGGAGGTGCAGCAGAAACCTTGACAACACCTGAGGTCTTAATTAGGGGTGTGTGGCTGCCACTGAAAAGAAAATTTGTCCCGGGGAGGAACAACAGCTCAGGGGTGGAGGGCGCACACACCATTATTTCTTGAGCAGGTTTTAATGACGGCCCACTCTTGTTCTGTTTTCCCTGTAATTGCCCTCAAATAGACCAAGACATCTTTCAGCATTCAAACACTGAGAGTTCAGTCTATTCAAACATGTCAGCTGGGGAACAGAAAGCTGCCGCGGGCAAAATAACTGCACAGAAATACATGTGATCAATGGCCTAACTTGCTCATTTAATGCTATAATTAATCAGAAAAAAATGAAATTAATGTCTGGTAGAGAGTAGCAGAATAGATCAAGAAGGAGAAGCAAAATATTAAGTAAATTTGTGACCACCTCTGTACATAATTAAAAAAAAGTTACAAAAAAATTAAAATCAAAAACGTCAAAGCAGTGGAATTATTATATTATTTATATATTTATTATTTTTTACTAGAAATATTCTGAGAAAATTTTAATGTTTGATAGAGAATGTATCTGAGTAGCAGAAAAGTTATAATGAAATTGGTGATTGAAATTAAATTAATATTTTTATTCAGCAAAAGACACATTTAAATAAATATTGTTTTAAATTTTATTCACCAAAAATTCTGAAACACAGTGAAAGCCTATTTCTATTTTTTTTTTAAACACACACACATAAAAGCAGTGTATATTATTTAGTAAATACATACACACACACACACACATATATATATATATATATGAACCAGTGGTGTATGAAAAAGCAGCAGGAATATTTTTAAAAGCTCCAAAAATACTCGATAAAGAAACAAAAAAGTTCAATAAAGGCAGTATATATAATTTAGTAAATTTCCTTTTTTTTTAACTGAATATAGATCATTTCAGTTTACTGAATTTTAATTTTATTGATTTAATTTACTTACAATGAACTTCAAAAAGCTCTGTAAGTACAAAAATACTCCAAAATAAGTACCATAAAATCTATGTGTATGATTTATTAAATGCCTATTATTTTAATTCATTTTAAAATATGTTTTACTGAAATGTACTTTATTATTATTATTTATTTACTGTGAACTGGTGCTATATGAAAGCAGGAATATAATTTTTTTTTTAAAAAGCTATATTTATTTTTAAATCTTTTATTGATGTTTACTAAAAATATCCCATTTAATTTAAAAAAAAATGTTTTAGTTTAAGAATATTTTATTGAAATTTACTTTTTTCTTCTTTTTCAGTTTATTTATTTACGTACTTAATATGAACTAATGCTATATGAAAAAGGAGCACTAACCTTTTTTTATTCCTTTTGTGGAATGACATGAGGATGAATAAATAATGGCACAATTTTCATTTTTAGGTGAACTATATCTTTAACATAACAGCATGCTGACATACTGGTTATTAAACACTATAGTTTCTTATCACAGTTTGTAGGCAGACTCTCGCCCTGCTTCCAGACATTTTATGATGGCCATTAATCAGACTTTTATGAGCGTGTCAGGAGAAACAGTGTTTGGAGGTGTAGAGCGGATCTAAAGCTGTGTGTCTGTACTTGCAGCACGTATAACTTTGGCTCGGATGGCTTCCAGAGCCCAGCAGGTGGAGGCACGCTCTGCCTGGGCTCAGGTGTTCACGGCGGGGTCGACTGGATGAGGAAACTCGCCTTCCGCTACCGCCGAGTCAAAGAGATCTACAACACCTACAAGAACAATGTAGGAGGTGAGAAGAGAACACACCCCTGCTTTCTGCTTTCACAGCTGTGAATACAAGCATGATTAGGTCCTGAAATGACTAGTACACAACAGATAGATCCTGTCCTCAAATCTGATTGGTCGAACCATGTTTGAAGCCGTTGTGAAATAGTACAGGTGCATGACATACACGCACCTGTAGCCACATGTCTGTTTACGTCCATATTAATGCATCAACTGTAAACACTGTATATGTGTGTATATCTATATATATATTTGATATTTAGTTAAATGTATTTATATAATTACTAATTGGGTGTTTGAACTATTGGCTCTTTCGGCCCTGCATGTGGGATTTTGGAAAATAAAGACAGAAAAGTAAAAACAAATTCACAATGAGGGACAGTCGTGTATTTGTGACGTTCTCATACATTAAAAATTTTTTTTTACTTATGCCACTTTGTTTTGAGCCAAACAACTTTGTAAAATCACTGTATGGCCAGTGGTGATGTTTTTTATTGTTATTTTTGCATTCTCAAGAATACGTTTCACGCATTAAACTTCAGTTTGATGCTCAGTTGGATCTTGAATGGGTTTTGTGACTGGTGATCATTGCTGTTATGTTGTGTAGGTTTGCTGGGCAGTCCGAAGCGGGAAAATTTGTGACGTTCTCATACATTAAAAATGTTTAAAAAAAAAAAAATTTAAATCACATTTTTATTTTGGATCTTCAGTTCTTTGAAATGAAGTAAAAATAAATGAAGGCATGGTAAAAAGTTTACAATGGACTTTTAATGTGACAAAAATGGAAAAAGAAATGTTGATTTATTTTTCTTGTTTTAATTAAAATAAAAAAATAAAAATAAAATAAAATAAACACCAGAACATAAGTGCCTGTAGTTCAAGAAATTATTATTAAATATGATTTAATATTAAATTACTGAGAATAAACCAAATTATTTATTATACATGTTAGAATTTTTTTTGCTGTTTTTGTTTTAAATAAAATAAATAAAAGTGCCTGTAGTTGAAGAATTATTATTAAATGTTTTAATATTAAATTATTTAGAATAAACCAAATTATTTATTGTACATCATATTATTGTTGTGGTTATATTATAAAAGCACTGGTTTTAAGTGTTTTTTTTTTTACTTATGCCACTTTGTTTTGAGCCAAACAACTTTGTAAAATCACTGTATGGCCAGTGGTGATGTGTTTTATTGTTATTTTTGCATTCTCAAGAATACGTTTCACGCATTAAACTTCAGTTTGATGCTCAGTTGGATCTTGAATGGGTTTTGTGACTGGTGATCATTGCTGTTATGTTGTGTAGGTTTGCTGGGCAGTCCGAAGCGGGAAGAGTGGCTTCAGCTGAGGCGGGAGATGGAGGTTTTGACGGATCTGTGGCTGACGCAGGCACTCAAAGCTCTCGCTCTCATCAACTCCAGGTGGGCACAGCACACATACGACAATGCAGACGCTCGTTACAGGAATATTCCAGCTTAAATAAACGAGACACGTGAGTGTCGTAGAGTTCAAGAGCAGAAGCTACTTTCTGTGGTAACCGACAGCGCGCCACAGATACGGAATCTGGAATATTCCTTTAACAATAGAGTTATTTTACAGCAAGTTACAGCAGTTTTGTGTCACTCAAACATAATGGGTTTTGGCAAGCAAAGCACACTGTCAGCATGAGAGACTGATGACACTGACAGATGATGATTAATAGCACTTGATTTGCCAAGAGATTTCTGTCTCATGACTTCTATTTAACACAAAAGCGAGGTTTAGCAGAACATCTGAGCTGCTTTTCTCCATACAATGGAATCAACAGAGTGACCAGAGCCTGTCAAGATCCCAAGTTTATCTCTCGCATTTTATATCTTGCAACTATGAGTTATATTTCAGAACTATGAGTTATATTTTGGAATTATGAGTTTATATCTCGCAATTATGAGTTTATATTTCACAATTATGAGTTTATATTTCACAATTGACTATTTCACAATACTTTTTGATCTCGCAATTAAGAGTCTTTTTGCAATTATGATTCTATCTCACAATTATGAGTTTATTTTTAGCAGTTCTGAGTTTATATCTTGCAAATGAGTTTTTTGCAATTATGACTTTATATTTCACAAATGAGTTTATATCTCGCAATCCTGATTTTTTTCGCAATTCTGAGTTAATATCTCACAAATGAGTTTATATTTTACAATTAAAAGTCTTTTTTGCAATTATGATTCTATATCTCACAATTCTGAGTTTATTTTTCGCAGTTCTGCGTTTATATCTTGCAAATATTTCACAATTATGAGTTTATTTTACAACAGTTTATATCTTGCAATTAAGAGTCTTTTTTTTTGCTATTATGATTCTATATCTCACAGTTATGAGTTTGTATCTCACAATTCTGAAAGAAAGTCAGAAAACTGAGACGCAGTTGCTTTTTTTTAAATCCATGACAGAAATAATCATCCATAAGAAATAGATGCGAATGTAAGCCTTTATTCACTATAATCTTCCTATCCATCAAAGCTCTAAATCTCTAGAGAAACTCTGCAAAACTAAATCCAGACCAGATTTTTTATTTACGACTGCAGCACTATTCCTTTATGAATGGTTTTCGTGAACGAGTTACTTACATATTGTTCCCTTGGACAGAGCGAACTGTGTGAACGTGATGGTCACCACCACGCAGCTGATTCCAGCGCTCTCTAAAGTGCTTCTCTACGGTCTTGGAGGAGCTTTTCCCATCGAGAACATCTACAGCGCCACCAAAACAGGTTCGCAGCCTCTTCGTACGCTGCATTTCAGCCAGTTTTCCAGATCTAGGAACTGAACTGTTAACGTTGTGTTCTAGGTAAAGAAAGCTGCTTTGAGCGCGTGACTCAGAGGTTCGGCCGGAGAGCCGTGTATGTGGTCGTAGGGGATGGTGTGGAGGAGGAGACGGTCGCCAAGAAGGTATAAAGGAATAATGCCACACTGCTGAATTAGTACTGTAATGCATTATGGTATTAAAAATAGATTTATTATTACTGGTATTGTTATGGTTCCATGTCAAGAGAATTACTGTACCATGGCATCTTTCTATTAGCAAAAGGTTAAGTGAATCCAAACCGTTTTGGGAGAGAGAGAAAAAAACATTAACTACCACTACACATTTTAAAATAAATAAAGAAAATATATCATATATATATATATATATATGTATATATATATGTGTGTGTGTATATATATATATATATATATATATATATATGTACTAGGGGTTGAACGACTTTTCTGTGATGAAAGTGTGTATATATATATATATGTGTGTGTATATGTGTGTGTGTATATATATATATATATATATATATGTGTGTGTATATATATGTGTGTATATATATATATATGTGTGTGTGTGTATATATGTGTATATATATATATGTATGTATGTATATATGTGTGTGTATGTATATATATTTATATAAATCATGTTATTTTAATTTATTATATATTTTAAAATGTAATTTGATAAGCATTTAATATTATTCAAAAGTATTACTATTTTTGTAATAATAATACATTTTAAAATACTTTTAAAATATTAAATCTGTGATATATTTATATTAAATGATATGTTATAATCCTAGTTTTATTTTATAATCAGTTTTATCAGAGTTAGCATTTATATTATTAAAAATATAAAATATGTTATAATTCAATAGATTTTTATATTATTCAATATTATTTATTTTTAAATATTTTTAAAAATTGTATATTTATAATTATAATATGGCTTATTTTGAAATGTAATCTTTTTTATATTATCTTATATTATTTTATATTTTTATGTTATTAAAAATATTAAAATATATTTTTATATTATTTTTATTTGATCATTTATATTAGTAATATATATATATATATAAAGTTATAATTATTTTATTTTAAAAATAATCTTTATTTTTATAATTAGCATTTATATTACAATTCAAATCACATTTTTTTAAATATTAAAATGCATTTAAACAAACAAAATTTTGTATTAAAGTCCCTAGATAGATTCTTTTCAAAATCTATCCAAATCATTATTATCAAAACTCTTTTTAGACGATTAAAAATAATAATTATTTTAAAAGGGGGATAAACCTTAACATCCATATATGTAAACATAAATATATGACCTATTAAATGATTTGACTTTTTCTGTCATTTCATGACTAACAATCCGTAATATCATCACCCATGACAAATAAATGGTACTTTGTGATGTCCCGCAGAAGAACATGCCGTTCTGGAGAGTGACGAGCAGGCCGGATCTGGAGGCGTTGAGTCATGCACTTGAGCTGGATTACCTCTAGAGGACAGCATCTTCCTGTCCGCCAAGAACTGCAGGACCAATCAGCAGGGAGCAGCAATCTTACTGGGAAAGTTTGCTTCAAATCTTTTTCTCTCTTTCTCGCTCTCCACCTGAGAGGCTCGGCTCTTTCATCCACTCGCTTTTCTTTACAACAGCACTGCACTGAAGACAAAGACTGCACAGCCCATCAGCGACTGATTCAGAAAGCCTGTGACCGGATAACGTCCTATCATACTTCTCATGCTATTTCTGCGGTACGCAGCATATATACTGTGCACAGTATGTGTATTTTCTGTTTGTGCAGAAACCCGGATGACAATGGAGCACAATGCATGGATATCCCAGAATGCAATGCACTTGACTTGAGTTTTTACATCTCATCTCTTTGGACTGCCAAAAAAGGAAAACAGTTCCCACAAAAACTGGATTAAAAATGCAAAATAACAGTTTGTTTTTTCTGAGATGATTATTAGAGGTCATGTGACATCAATGCAGCAAACTACTGTTTGAAATGTTTATCATAATGCATAATGTGTACTATTTTTATATTAAGCAGTATGCGGTGTAAACTGTGCTGTAATGTTTGTTAGTATTGCTATCCGTTCTGAAACAACCCATTTTACAGATAAGAGGGGTGTCAAAATAGAAGATTTTAGCATTTAAAAAAAAATAAGATTTACATTTCGTAAAGCATGAAATCATATGCATTTCCATGAAAAAAAGACCAAATTCATAAGCGAAGAAAAAAACCCTGATTTGATAGAATTTTATGTAATCAAAACTGATTTTTTTTTCTTGCAATATCATATTAAATTGACTGAATATTGCACCATACACAAAAAAGGGAATCATTAAATAAATATGAACTGAATTAAAATGAACTGAGACAAAATTAAGAAATGTGCTGTTGTACTAAAACTGCAGAAAAACGAACCCCTCACGTTTTATATACGAGTACAAAGTGCTGCAAATCCACTTGTTTGAATGGAAAACCATGAACTAACCCTGAAATCTGCCAAAGTATCGTAGCGGATGATACTGCTACTGTTACGAACAGAAAAGACATGATTAACTTATGAATGTCAGTGTCCTGTGAGTTTCTTTTCTTCCCGTGTCTCTGACGTGTGCCTGGATCTTCATGTGGTTTGTTACTGATGTATATTTCTTTCTTTGCTGAAGTTGATATACTGTATACTGTATGTGTCGCTCTGACCTGCATGTGCTCTTCACAACTGCTTCTGTTCGCTATGATTTGTATATAAGGTTTTATTGTTGATTATTTCTGGGCTTATTATAATAGAATAAAGATAAATTAATTTCATTCACGAGTTTCCTTCTTATTACTCATTTATTTTACATTAAGTACTGTATTCAATTTAGAGTGTAATGCGCTTAACGTTCATCATGTTGCAAAGCAAAAAAAATCTTGATCCTAAGAAAAATAGACTTCGTTTTCTTCCTTCAAAATTTGCAATGTTTCTCTTTTTATTGTGTGGTTAAATATGCTACAGACAATATAACTTTTCAAATATCTCTGTTTCCAGGTACACTTTTTTTGTTCCATAGTATAACTGCATACTTATTAGAACGCTAGCTTGTGTCTGAAAATAAATACTGTTAGTCCAGGGTTAATAGTGGGAGAAAATAGTGGATTTACAGATAAAATACACGTCATAAAATCGTCAGCAGTAAACACAGAATACATGTTTATGACAGTCTATATCTAGCCTCGGATAATATATCAGCACTCCAATATACAGAGAATCAGAGTAATAGGTTCAGTCCAGTAGTAATAGGATGATTAATATACATTACATTACATCAAAAAATTTAATATGCAAATATTTTAATTTTTTATATAGTACTTTTAAAAATTAAATATTTTTAATAAGACATTATTTGTTTTAATGAAATATAACACAATTTAATATAATATGTATTTATATTATATTACCATTATACCAAAAAGGGTTTTTTTTGTTTTTGTTTGGCGACACCTGTATTATCACTCGAGCAGAGTGTAACTGCTATAAAGCAAGCTTTGCTGCCATCTGCTGGAACTTCACCTCATTCACATCGGCTTATCTTCAATCACAAGTCGTTTACCTAGTGTATTTGTACAAGAGCGTATTTTTAATGGCCCCTGATGACACAGTAGTCTGCACATGTTGTTGTCATTGCAGCTTTGCACCTTGAGTCTGTGCCACATAGTAGAACAGAGACACACCGCTAAACACGAGCCGCCCCAGACCAGAGCTCGTGTGTGTTCAGCACTTATTTGATCAGCTCGTGTTGACAGATACCTAATGCTCGTAAAGGAATGTTTGGATGAGTTACTCCGAGCTCAGTCGCGCCCTTGAGTGAGCTTGATCTATGACTCGCCTCACAAGTTTGTTTTGCGGGTGAAGGTGTAGCGGAGAGGTTCTTCTGTCATCCTATAACAGGGGTGCCCAAACTCGGTCCTGGAGGGCCGGTGTCCTGCAGAGTTTAGCTCCAGCTTGCTTCAACACACCTGCCTTTAAGTTTCTAGTATGCCTAGTAAGAGCTTGATTAGTTGGTTCAGGTGTGTTTAATTGGGGTTGGAGCTAAACTCTGCAGGACACCGGCCCTCCAGGACCGCGTTTGGACACCCCTGTCCTATAAGGATTAAAAGCCATCATTTGATGTGTAATATCTGGCTTGTGTAATATCTCGCTCCATATAACATAAGCAAAGGGAAACCGCACAGGACAGATCGGAAAATCAGAGTCAAAAACAAAAACAGCACTGCTAATCTGATGAAGAAGAGGAATTTAAGTGTCTTTTCTCATTTATTTCAAATACAAAGACACATCAACATTTAGCATAACACTTGATCAATGATGATTTGAACACTTTGTTTGTTCATTTGTTAGTTTTGGCGAGGCTGTCGTTATAATAAACTAATGTGAATGTCACTGGGTTTAGAGCAGAGGTAGATCTATCTGGCAGTGATTTTAAACCACTTACACGTGTTTGCTAGAAATAATATTAACTCTGAACATTTGATTATTTACTTTTGTACTATAACCCCCCCCCCCCCCCCCTTTTTTTAAATACAAAGATTAATCCTTTTTTTCCCCTTTGTAGATAAATTGTCTGAAAAGTGTTTTAAGAATAAAGATTTGGACAGATTTGGGATGGATAAAGACTTTAATGCGTAATTTTATTTTGAATGTTGACATAAGAAATACATATATTTTAAATGTGTTACATTTTAAATGTAATATACTGTAAAGTATGACTATTAAAGTAATTGAAGTAATTAAAGTAAATCATAAAATAAAACTGATTTTTAACAAATAACAAATACATTTTAATATAAACATTCAATTTGATTAATAATTTATTATAATTATATATAATAAAAATAAAATTATATAATATAAGAAATTATAATAATAACTATAAATAACTATACAATAAAATAAATGCATTTATAATAAAAAAATATATAGAATTACATAATTATATATATTTTTTTATAAAATATTTAAAACAAATAAAATAATTGTAATAATAGAATAGAATAGAAACAATATAAATTGTATGCAATTGTAAATAAAATAATATTGTGTGTTCCACTGCATATTTACTGTATTTTGACACACACACACACACATATATATATATATATATAATATGTGTGTGTATAATTTTAAATGTAATTGTAATATAAATGATAAATGTATTAAATAAAACTGTAAACAAACATAATTCAATAAATATATTAAATATGCACATAATAATAAATAAATACTTTATATTATAAAAATAAAATATGAATAATGTTCATTAATATATAAAAATTTAACAAATTAGTATCAACATATATATTATGAACTTAAATATTTAGCTTCATATTATGCAAGCTGAGCATAATTATAATGCAAGTTATAATTATAATGCAAATAATAGAATAAAATAAGTATAAATAATTAATTTATTAATAATAAATAATTAATTCTATATAAATATATATTTTATTTCATAAACTATATAACTATACAAGTAAAACTGTAGTAACATAATATAACAATTGTGAATATATATCAGAAATATTTAATTTTAGTAAACTTTTAGAATGAGTTACTATTATTATTAATTATCTAAATTAATGTTATTTTGAACAGCCAAACTACATTGAAATTTGTTACCAGACATGTCCTCTCTATATACACATTTCTCTCATTTCTTTGAAGACATTGAAACAGCTGCCTTAAAAAGGTATCTTTCACTGATCCCGAACGTCCCTTACGAGCTCAAAAACAGCGTTTCAACCCCACACCGACTTGAACTTGTTTATTTGTCCCAACACCCACTAATAACGGGGGATCAATTTGGTCATGAAGCACATCATGCAAAGCTCACGTCACCAAACGCACACACTTACACAAGTCACTCGCTCAACCCGACTGTTGACTCCCGAGTTATTGGTCATCCAGCATTCAGCATAACAAGTTTATGGCTACAAAGTCTACTATGTTCCAGAGTCCAGCCGAAAGAGACCTTGAGGAGTCATTTCAGAGAGAGACGGAGGGGAAACACAGAAACACGGCAAGCAGAAGGGACTGTGACCTCGAGCGGCCGCTGATTACGCAGCCACACGCCATCAACATGTAACAGCAGCGAGTTCACTCACTCTAGTGCCCTTGATGCACTGACATGTACCGTGATACAGCACTTATCACCTGCTTTTAGGGACATTATTACCTAATTAGACTACAGACAATGCTGTACACCTCCAATATACAGATTAGTGACCAATAAATAACTTTATTCAGTCCCTGTGTGGATACAGCCTACCCTCAAAGTTTAAAACATTTTGCAATTCAACTCAAAATATTGTAGAGCACAAAATATGCTTGATTTAAATTGTAAAGTATTTATAGGTTATGATCATATTTGCTGCACAAACAGTCATCAAATCATGACTCATCATTAAAAATATGGGAATTATGAAAAGCTGACACAAAAGTGCTAATTTGTCATGAAATCATTGGCTAGTTTTGTTAATTAAAATAAATGAATAAATAATAGTGTTATAAAAAAGAATGATAGATTGAGCTTTAAAGTATTAGGCTTTTTATTGCATAAAGAAATATTTTTCTTCTTTTGATTTTTAGGGTGAAACAGCAATTTTTGATAGACTGATTTCATAAATATTCAGATTACATACTTTATCCCCTCAAATTACTGTAGTGCATAAAATATGCTTGATTTAAATTGAAAAATATTTATAAATTATGGTACAAACAGTCATCAAATTAGAATCATCACTGAAAAAAATTATGAAAAACCTGTCACATACACGCAAACTTGTCATTTAATCAGTGACTAAATTGTCTCCTTTTTTATGTGTGTATCATTGTTTATTAAAATAACAATTTTTTAAATGTTGTCATAAAAATAATGGCAAAATAAATATTCTAGTGTTAGGTATTCTGCTCTTTATGCAATAAATATCTCCTATTGCATAATCATTTATTTCTTCTTCTTTCTTTGATTGGAGGCTGAAATGCAGATATGTCTGTGAGATTCCTTTCATTATTGGTAAGGTGAATGAGTGAAGAGCAGTGTGAGTGGAGAGGTCATGTGGTGCATGATGGTGATCGAGTGTGTGGTTGTAGTTCTGGAGTTCAGCAAACAGAACACAGAACACAGGCACTGCCTGAACCCGAGCGCTGGCATCCGTCCAGCAATACACCAACGCTGACCTCCTGACACACACACACACACACACACACACCACACACACCGGGTGAACGTGGTGGACAGCTACAATACAGCATGTCCCAAAATATAATGTAATATAATATATAATTAGAAAATATAATGTCATATATTAAATAATACTTTTCGATATATGGGAAACTGGTGCTTATGTTTTGCAGTTTACTGCAATATATGCATAGATCAGGTATGGCTAGTTATATGTGAAATATAATAAAGATAAAAACTGCACTTTTTTTCTTTACATATAATAGCTTTATTTCAACACAATGCATGGCTTTACATAAAGCTGAACACATATTCATAAACTTTTTTTATACTTTAATTTTTACGTTACCCATTTCATATGAAAACATGTGATGGTGTATATAAGAAAAAAAGTGTTTACTGAAGACTAACATTACAATTTTAGGATTTTTGCACAATTTGATGTCTTGTTAAAGTCATGTCTACCTGTACATGGTGGGTGGAAAATCATTCGGCATTTATGGACTTAATGGACTGAATGAGATTCACAAATAGACAATTTACAAATAAGCAATAAATACAAATATAGATATATATCAATAT